TCCAACAGTTTGCAAATGGTGAAACTTCAATATAACAACATCCTGGAATTAAAAAGGCTAGCCTAAAGGTCACCTGTCAATTCTTTTAAAATGCTATTTGATTCACGATCCTTTAGTGAAGGAAATTACCATCCTCATCTGGTCTGGCCTACATGTGAATCCATACCCATAACAATGTGGTTGAGTTAGAATGAATGATAAATGCTGCCCTAGCTAGAGATGCCATTATCCCATGAACAAACAAAAAAAATTCCAATCACTGTAGGTACTTGTGAATTTGCTGGTGTTTCATCAAGATGGATGACTGAGTGAATTTCTCACACTCTTCCCACACTCAGAGCCAAGTGAACAGCCTCTTCCAGTGCGTTCGCTAATGTACAGTGAGGCAAGATGATGTCCTGAACCCAGACCCACAGTGAAAGCACCTGAATAGTCTCTCTTCAGTGTGGACACAATTGTACATCAGTCCACTTGAGCTTTTATAGCACCTCCCACAATCTCCATATTAAAAAGGTCTCTCCTCTGAGTGAATCTAATGAGGTTTCAACAGACTGGATGACTAGGAGAAATCCTTCCCACACTCGGAGCAGGTGATCGGTATCTCCCCAGTGTAGAACCATTGGTGTCAGCAGGTGGGATGACTGGATGAATTCCTTGCCATACTCAGAGCAGGGGAACAACCCTTTCTAGTGTGAACCTACTGATGAGCCAACAGGTGGAAGGATTTCATGAATGCCTTCTCACACAAAGAGCAGGTCAATGGTTTCTCTCTGGTGTGACTGTGCCGACGTGTTTGCAGCTTGGACAGGAAGGTGAAACTTTTCCCAGTCTTCACACATCCACAGCTTCTTGTCACTGTGGCATTGCTTTGACTTCAAAAAGCCTGATGCCTTGTCCACACACAGAACCTGCGCACAGTTTACATTCAGTGTGAATGGTGCATCCACCTTCCACATTCAATATCTTTTGATATTCAGCTTACAATAAATTGAGCAACTCTGTCAGACCCTGGTGTGATGTTTGGACGCATCTCGAATGTACATCGTTAATTTCCAAAACACTGTGGAATTGGTATAAAACAAAAACAAAGGAGCGTGACACAATGTACAAGAACAAAGACAGGTTGTGAAATCAAGGTTAATGAATCAGGTAGTTTGTGGGGCTGGCACTAGGGAATAGTGACCATAAAAGCTGCTGGATTGTTGTAAAATTACAACTGGTTCACTCATGTTGATCTGGGATAGGAACCTCACATCCTAGTTGTGACGTGAAAGAAAAGGGGCCAAGGACAGATCCTTAGGGACTCCAGGATTTTGGAAAGGACAAGGATGTGGAAGACAGGGCTGAAGTTTGTTAAGTTGGCGTGGTGAAGGGTTGATTTTTTTCCTCAGAATGGGTGACGATGTTGATTTCAAGGTGACGGGCACAAAATAAGACAGAATCATTAACAATATCAGTTAATGTGGAGAACTTGAATGGCTAGCAGGAATAGAATTAAGGGACTACAAGGTGGGTCTCCTGGACATGATGAGATTCATCAAAGCAGATCAGAGAGAAACTGTTCAAAGATGAGAGTTCAAGGTTCAGACAAGGAGGAACCTGTAGAGGCAGTTTTACCTGGTGGGTTAGTGGAAGGGAGGGAAGCAGCAGAGATAGCCGATAGATTGTTTCAATCTCAGTGGTAAAGAAGCTCCATTAGTTCCTGACACTTGTCGTTATTGGTGAGAATGGAGAAGACAGGGTGAGGGATAGCTCTTCAAAATTAACTCATTCACAGCAAATGTGTTAGAGGTATTGAAAAGATGTGCCACACTGTGTCAAATTACAAAGGTACTTTATTTTATTTTTATCCAGCATATTAATAACTCAAACAGGTTTATTAGACAATGAAAATGGTTCAGTTCTAGCTAATGACGAAGAACAAAGTCCAACTCTTATAGTTATGTGTGAACTCGCTGGTGACTCAGCAGGAGGGCTTTCCGAGTGAATCCCTTCCCACACTCAGTGCAGGCGAACGGCCTCTCCCCAGTGTGAATTCGCTGGTGTAGTGTGAGGTGAGATGGCTGCTTGAATGCTGTCCCACAGTGAGAGCATCTGAATGGTCTCTCTTGAGTGTGAACACGTTGATGGATCATCAGATAGCCAGAACTCTTATAGGACTTTCCACAGTCTGGGCATTTAAAAGGCCGGTCCCCAGTGTGAATTCGCTGGTGTACAGTGAGGTGAGAAGAATGTTTGAACCCAATCCCACAGTGAGAGCACCTGAATGGTCTTTCAGAAGTGTGAACACGTTGATGAGACATCAGATCGCCAGATGTTTTATAGCACTTTTCACAATCTGAGCATTTAAAAGGTCTCTCCTCAGTGTGAACACGTTGATGGGTCATCACTTCCTGAGTACTTTTAAAGCATTTCCCGCAGATTGAACAATTAAAAGGTCTCTCTTCAGTGTGCACTCGCTGGTGTGTTACGAGTTGGGATGATCGAATGAATCCCTTCCCACATATAGAGCAGGTGAATGGCCTCTCCCCAGTGTGAATTCGTTGGTGGACAGTGAGTTGAGATGATTGCTTGAACCCAGCCCCACAGTAGGAGCACCTGAATGGCTTCTCATCAGTGTGAACACGTTGATGGGACATTAGGTCCCCAGAACTTTTATAGAATTTCCCACAGTCTGGACATTTAAAAGGTCTCTCCCCAGTGTGAATTCGCTGGTGTTCAGTCAGGTGATATGATTGTCTGAACCCAGTCCCACAGTGAGAGCACTTGAACGGTCTCTCGTCAGTGTGAACACGTCGATGACGCATCAGTTCCCTGGAACTTTTAAAACACTTCCCGCAGTCTGGGCATTGAAAAGGTCTCTCCTCAGTGTGGACTCGCTGGTGAATTGTGAGGTGGGATGACCGAGTGAATCCCTTCCCACACACACTGCAGGTGAACGGCCTCTCCCCAGTATGAATTCTCTGGTGTACAATGACTTCAGATGATGTCTTGAACCCCTTCCCGCAGTGAGGGCATCTGAATGGTCTCTCCTCAGTGTGAACACGTTGATGGGACAGCAGTTCCCCGGAACATTTATAGCATTTACCGCAGTCTGTGCACTTAAAAGGTCTCTCCCCAGTGTGAACTCGCTGGTGGGTCGTGAGGTGAGATGACCGAATAAATCCCTTCCCACACGCGGAGCACATGAATGGCCTCTCCCCGGTGTGACTGTGCCGATGAGTCTCCAGCTCAGGCAGAGATCTGACACCTTCATCACAGTCCCCACCTTTCCATTGTGTCTCTTCAATGTGACTGTGTTGGTGAAGTTCCAGGTCAGATTGGTTGCTGAATTCCATCCCACAGACCCTACATTTCCATGGTTTCTGCCCAGTGCCACTGCACTTGTGTCTCGACAGACCAGATGATTGGCTGAAGTCTTGTCCACATACAGAACACATATAGGGTTTCTCTTCACCATGAACTGTACTCTTTCCTTCCATGTTCAAAATCAAATAACATTCTGATTGAGCTTTCATCAGATTCTGAGGTGCTGCTGGATCTGTGAACCCTGACTGTAATTCCTCCCCCTCTGGCACCCTCTGAAACTGTTTTAAAACAGAAAAAAGGAGTGAGAGAATACCCACAAAAATCACAAAAGCAGGCTGTGGCATTGAGCTGAATGAATGTGGTAACTTGTTGAGACACATAGAGAAATTCATCGTGAATCTTGCCAGAATGTTGTAAAAACACAAGTGGTTCATTAATGTTCATTGGGAAGGAAATCTGCCATCCCAATCTGAACATGCACAAGAATCTGGCCTCTATAGGATGAAGCAAAGAGACAAGTGAGAGGCAGTGGCAAAGGAGAGAGATTGTATGTATTTACAGCTTGAGCAGAACTTTGACAGAATCTCCCAAATTCTCAACCTTCACCATCTCGAAGGACTAGGGTAGGAGACCTATGTGGACACCATAACCTCCAAATTTCTTCCAACTCTCACAGTCTCCTGAATTTATCTGACATCCAGGACTAGATGAATAGAAATATCCTCCAATGATGAAAGGAGCTGTCTTTAGTAACAAACTCCATACCCTAGCAGCTAACATCGTCCCTCTTCCCTGCAACTGTGTGATGCTGAAACAGACCAGTCAGAACAATGATGTCATGTTCAACCTAAACTTTAAACAATATATTCACATCATCACCAAGACCACCTACCTCCACCTCAGTGACATCAATCAGTTCCATCCTAGTCTCGGCTCATTTGGTTTTGAAACTCTTCTCTATTCTCTTCTTATCTCTAGACTTAAACATTCAACTGTACCCCTGGCTGTCCTCACACATTCAAAGTCTCAGTAATTTTGAGATGATCCAAAATTCTGCTGCTTAAAGTTTGAGAAGATTTGTAGCTCAGGTTGTAGACATGCTCGCCAAGCCAGAGGGTTTGGTAACAAATGTTTCGTCACCCTGCTAGGTAACATCGTCATTGCACTGATGATGTTACCTGACTTGGTGATGAAACATTTGCAACCAAACCCACCGGCTTGGCAAGCATGTCTACAACCACATTCTGCTGCTTATATTCAGTTGTGAATTCTGCAGATGCAGGAAATCAAAAAGAGAAAATATTGGAAATAATCAGTAGGTGGGGTAAATTACAGGGAATAAAAATGGTGGAGAATTTGACTTTCTATAGAAGATCTGAAGCAGAAGGGAAATTAACTCCAGTGACGGAAACACCATTCCTGACAATGGGTAGGTAAAGCTGATAAATTAGCAAATGGACAGCAGTGGAAACTTCATTTGGAAACAATTTGCAGAAACAGGAACAAAATACTAAACATACTTAAAGTACACATTATTAGACGCAGAGAAAGACAATGGAAGAAAGGTGACTAGGGAAGACAGAGGTGTGACAAAGTCATGGATGGACATGGATTTGGATCCATAATAAAGGAGCCACACCAGCCTCAGAGCCAAGAAACAAGAATTTGAATGAAAGCTCAACAATTCTAACCTCTGATATAATTTCATTGTCTTCAATTTTAAAATCTCTGGCTGGATCCTGCATCATGAAAGATATTGGAAGCTCTGGAATCAGAAAGTAATCTCTCAGTCTTCACATCTTCTGACACCCTGTAAAAGGATATGAAAAAAAGTCAAGAGTGTAGGGAAAGACAGAATTTGAGAGGAGACGAACATTTATCTTGGTTTGAGTTTGCAGAATGCAATTTATCTCCATTTCTCCCCTTGCAACGTGAGTCTTTAAAATCCATCCCTATCCAGGATATAAATGGACATGAGATTTCTGCTTCCTGTGTGAGATGGTCACACACATGCTCAGTCTCTGTTAAGATAGCAACTGTTTCCCAGGATTTCTCAAAGATTTCTCATGATAGAAAATAAAAACATATCTGGAAATAATGAGGAATAAACGGTTTGATAAGTCTAGAAATTCAAAGATATTGGTATGAGTAAAGACATAGAGTAGGAATTAAGAAACCCCCTATACCATGGACTATAGGATTTTAAAGAGGGGCTGCAGAGACAGTGGTTGTTTTGGTTTCTATCTTCCAGAAATTCAAAGGGACACCGAACCGGTTACCTAATGGATGTTCCCGATGACCGGGAGTCCAGAAGCACAGGGCACTGTATAAGAATGCAGGTTAGGCTATTTAGGACAGAGTTGAGAAATTTCTTCACCCAAGAAGCCTATGGAATACTCTGCCACCAAAAGCAGTTGTGGGCAAAGCATTGAATGTTTTCAAAAAGGATTTAGACGTAATTATTTTGGGCTAAAGAGATCAAAGGGTATGGGAATAAATCAGGAACAGGATGCGAAGTTGGATAATCACTCATGATCATGTTGAATGACAGAGCAGGCTCGAAAGGTTGAATGGCCTACACTTGCTCTTACTTTCCATCAGTCTCACTTTCCTCCTTTAAGATTCTCCTGAAAACCTGCCTCTTTGACCAAACTTCTGGTCATCTGATTTAATATTTCTTCACATAGCTCAGTGTCAAATTTTGGCTTTTAACATTGCTGTGAAATACCTTGGAAAAATTAATCAAGTCAAAGGCACAATATAAATAAATATTGTCAGGTTACATCTTTTCATTGTCATGTACCTGCTCTCTCAAAAGCCCTTGCATCTTCTTTCAATTACTTGAGCTTGCCCTGGTGTCCTGCTGTGACATTTGTCCCATTATGCCTGTGCCACCTCTCTATCAGGGCAAGGCAGCTTATCCAATTCCCTACCCCATTCACAGACTAGTTTCATTTGCTTACTCAAGTCCATTTGGAAAGCCACATTGAAATCTGCTTCCACTACCTTCTCTGGCAGTTCATTTAATATCTCCCACCACTAACTGCATTAGTGCTGGTTTTCACGATAACTTTGGTTCTTGTGCCAATCACACAATAATCTAATTTCAGCTTTTTAACTCCCTGATCCATTTTCATAACTCTAACCTGCATGGGGAAAGACTATTAACTGTACACACTTCAGGATCTCATGCCCTATATGACATTATACACAACCACTATTCCAGTGCCTATTTTCAATACCTTTCAGATTTTAGGAGTCATACCAAACTCGAAAGTTTACCTCTGTTTCTCTGTGGCCAGAGCTGCTGAGTTTCTCAAGCATTCTTTGTGATTGTTTCATCATTCCAGTATAATTTGGCTCTCCATCCCACTACACTCTCCTCATCATCACATCAGAACATCACTAATGACCAACGGCCAGGACACAAGACAGCGGTACGCAGGCATAGTCCCACCATGTGTCTAAAGCATGCGCGGTGACAGTGCTGACAATGGACAAGGACGCTGTATTTTCTCATCTGCAGACCGTGAGGATGCAGAACCGCGGAGGGAGCGCTGGAGCCGGCGGGGGGACGGAGATGGTTTATAAACAGCTATCACATTATCTCAATCCTCGATTAATAACCTGCAAGTCCGTATTTACACTACCGTTGCCTTTTCCCGTGAACAGGATCAGGTTAACGGCCGCCATCTTGGATCCGCCGGAGCAGCGCGCATGCGTGATCAGCATGGGGACTCGACGTCAAGTGGGCGGGAACAAAAATAGAAATGACAAGGACAAACGCTGGAGATCACAGCGGGTCAAACAGCATCCATGGAGAGAGAGAGAGTGTTTAGCTTGCTCTCACTCTCTCTACGGATCCTGTCTGGCCCCCCTGTGATCTCCAGCATTTATTCTTTTCAGTACAGATTCCAGCATCTGCAGTAATTTGCTCCCACAGAAATAGAAATTGCTGCAAAAGCCCAGCAGGTCCGGCAGTATCCGTGGAGAGAAATCAAAGTTAAGTTTCGGTTCGAGTGATCCTTCCTCAGAACAGTTCATCAGGTCTGGCAATATCCGTGGCGACAGAAACAAAGTTAATGTTTTGAGTCTGGTCTGGATCTTGTTTGGAACTGTTTTTTGTAGCAGATCCCCAGCATTCAAAGTATTTTGCTTTTATTTTTGTATCCTGGCAGCAGGTTTATCAGCAGCTTCACACATTCCCAAGCTGCAGGTGATGTTTGCAACCTAGAGGAGTCTGTGGGTCACATGCAGTAGGAGAGTTTGTAGCTCTCCTGAAAGGTGTTTGGAAATAGGCACTGGAATAGTGGTTGTGTAAAATATCGTATAGGGCAAGAGTTCCTGAAGTGTGTTCAGCTAATAGTCTTTCCCCATGCAGATTGCAGTTATGAAAATGGATCAGGAAGTAAAAGGCTGAAAAGAGCTACTCCTCCATCTTTTGTTGACACTTCTAATCTTTGCCAAATGCGGACAAGGGTGGATAAGACAGATAATATTCCATACCTTCTCTTTGTTAAAACAGCAATTTGTACTATCTGGGTGAACATAATCCATGGGCAGTGGGATGGCAATAAATTGGCTGAACATTTGTTAACAAATAGGGACTGGAATCGGTACGATGTGCATTCTCCATCATTCAATAAGATCATGGCTGATGATAAGATGGCCTTAACTCCACTTTCCTCCCTGCCTCCCCATTCTTAAGAAGTTGCCCAGCCTCTCTTCCAAGGTCTTATTTGTTTGTGCAGATTCTCTGGAAGAGTGTGAGGAAGGGGGCTGAGACTAAATCTCCCTAGTTGGTTGAGACACTGTATCAGAATTTTCAAAGAAAAAGCATCTTCAGTTAGGAGTGTTGGCAATGATTTTAAAGCCGTGACTGCCGTACCAACATCATATTAATCCCAATCATTTCTCTCTATTTAGATTAAAAACTCCCCAAAAATTTCACTACTTGATTAAAACTCTCTTTCATTTGCTCTGCTCTTCGGAGAACCATTCCACCTTCTCCAGTCTCTCTGCAGAACTGAAACCCCTTGAACCTGACACCATTCTAGCCAGAGATAGTAGGAGCTGCAGATGCTGGAGAATCTGAGATAACAAGGTGTAGAGCTGGATGAACACAGAAGGCCAAGCAGCATCAGAGGAGCAGGAAAGCTGATGTTTTGGGCCTAGACCCTTCTTCAGAAATGGAAACGTCAGCTTTCCTGCTCCTCTGATGCTGCTTGGCCTGCTGTGTTCATCCAGCTCTACACCTTGTTATCTCACCATTCTAGCCAATTTTCCCTGCACTCTCTCCAAGGTCGAGACA